GCCTATTACGTGTGAAAAACCATACATAGATTTATTTTTTATTTGCTATTTAATAATTTCTATTTATTAATTAAATTGTTACATACTAACATGATAAGTTGTTAAATTACATAATTTCGCGAACCCAATATGCACGGGAGGCGACCAAATCAAGCTTGATTAGGTACATACACTACGTGATGTCGTTCGTCAGTCACATCGGAAAGCGTTTGTACATTGAAGGAAGACTCCCAGATGTCGAACTTGTCTACTTCCTGACGGTAGATGGAATTTATCGTCTAATTATTTCGCGTAATACCGGTCTTTTGCGTGCCGGTAAGTTCCGATATATTGATTTTGCTCCTTGTTCACTTGCCCCATATGCTCATTCAGAGCACCAACTAAATGTCATCTAATCCGTCTGCTTAGCTCTAGAACGGCCGAATATCTCTAAACGTATTGCGAGCAATAAAAATTTTCTCTGATATATCATGTTCTGACTTCTACATTAAATGTTTGCGTCAAAACAGCATTTTGCTTTTAGGATTTTCTAAGCACTTTTGCTTACAGTTGGGATTTTATAGGGCGACTTGATGTTCGCGGATGCGTTGCCAACTCGACAAACAGAAATTTCCCATACTTTTCAACGGACGGTCTAAGCCGGCGCACCTAAGATTTACTTTTTATCGATTATTACGAAACGATGAAATTTTTTAAACTTTCAGATACAATTTCTATGATTGAAACTTGTCTTGTTTTGTAGTTGCTAGATAATGAAACGAAAACGTTTGCTTAAAAAGATTCCCATTCAACGTTTCATGCTGTGCGTTTTCTCATCATTATCGTTTCTCCTATTCCAGATTCTATCCGAAGCCATTTCAATTCTAAAAGACGCCCTTGCTTTATCCGGCATCCGTGTGAGACAAGGCGTCGTTGTAGGTGTAGCCAGAGTTATTCTGTCACGACTTCCTGAGTGAAATACACGTTATTCAAAGGTGCGACATTCTCGTGACGCAACCTCTTCCATTGCTCCATAGAAAACACAGCGTAAACCATCACAATCTTCTCGTTTCCAGCCTGCGTGATTGAATGCTAGCAACAAATTCGCTACCAATCGTTTGAAGATCTTTATTTACTCAGTAGAAATAAAGCTCGAGGACAGGTTATTGAATGGACGCTGTGGAAGCTCCAATAGCTTGAGGAGAAATACAGCTTTTCTAATGTAGTTACATATGCTACGTAAAAAATCTGAGATCAGCCGAAGAGTTTAGTACAACGCATCTGATACATTCAGTAGAAAACTAACACAAGTAAGAATTGTACGAAAATTGCAGGTTGGACGCCTGCAATTGTTGGTTGGGTAAGTGTTGTGGTCATCGAGTCTGATGGCCTGTTGTCGCATAGAGCAGTTGTCGCTTGTGGGTACGGGCTGCTCGCCATCGTCAGAGTGTATGAAGCAACCGAGTTCTTCAGATCTAGAGAAGCAATTGTCCTCGATGGAAAGGAAGGACCAGTTGTTAAACAAGATGAAGGTCCAGTGGAAAAATGAAACTTCAGAAGATCAAAAGTGTGGCTCAATTACTAATTCCAGCTATGCTACGGATCGTCAAGCTGACACGAAGCGTAACACTGATAGTTCGGAGCTTCGAGGGGAGGCGCGACCAACCCAGACGCACAACTGTGAAAATGATTAAAATCTTAATGGAGAAAAGTAAAAGCCCCTTTCTGCGAAATAAAAGTAGATAACTGTAACAGTCAGTAGTGCTATTTCTAAAAAGTACAAGTTTACTAATTTACCTAACGAAATAGTTATTATAGTTAGAATCAATGGTTAAGATAACACTTTATTTATGAACAACACGTTTGTTATGTCGGTTATATTCTCCAATCGATAATAGGCATAATGTACGCTGACGTCTGCTTCCTGTTTACGTTGGGCCGCTATTATTTCCAAATTCGGCATATTGTATTACAGATTATATTTTGGCGTTTGCCGCAGAATTAGGTAAATTTATGAGAGAGAGATAGATGATCGTCCTTCGTTCGAGGAAAGGCCAATGTAGGTCTGCAGTCAGGATAAGATACGCGTCGGATCAAGAAAAAAGTACATACAAACTTACACTCACACACAGATAGGGTAAATTATTTTTTGACCGTTGTTAGTTCTTATTTCATATCTCTTAAAGCAAATGAAACTATATAACACATTTAACACTATCACAATGTTCCCGTAGCACTACAGGGTGATCTGATATATCGATAACACTATCTGAAAAATCACAGCTGTCGTTGGTGTACTTATTGCATTATAAACGTATACCAACGCTATAATGTTATTATGTAGAAACTTTTCAGTTGCAAATACAATGAATTGTTGGAATAGCTGACGGGTATCCTGCCAATGTTAAATATAGACTTTCAAACCATCCAGAGATTTTTCTTCTGCACGAGAGGGTCACTTAGAGCCGCTACTCTGAGTCCCACGACCAATATGTAATTACTATGAACTTCGTGCGATCAGAGGGGGTTAACAGCTGCCAATATGACTTCACACACGGTTGCTATAATAAGATATTTGCCGATTGAGGAGACAATATTTTTTAGGAATAACTGATCAGTGGGTGTTGAATCAAAATCGTGTTCGTTCCGAATGGTCCTTATAATGAATACGGATAATCGTCAGATGGGACACTTTTAGCGCAGATTTTTTCCCAAATTGTATATTGTTCCCTAGCTCGCTGTTAATTTACATAACGAACTCAACTAGGAATCTGGTCTCTAAGGATCGAAGCGTATAATTCGCTCTAATCTCTGTTTAGCTCACTTTTAATAATAGCTTTTTTTTTTTATTTTCAGCGATCTCATTAAATCTGTTTCATGCATCACATCAATTGTTTGCTCTAGCTTCTATATGAAACATAGATGTGAGTTTCTTATTTGATGGTCCGCCTCGCTCAATAGACCTAAGAGGCTCCACAGACCTCAGCAGAAGACGGAGCTTTCATTTCGTGAAGGCGCTCGAGAGTCTTCATATATTCGTTCATGATGATAGACCACTGATAGTGATATGTTCTTTATTCGCGGCGATAGTTCATTCACTACATAGTGCATCTCGCTTGCTGATATCTCACTTCCGACTATCTACGAGATTGCCTTACCTTAGTCTTCTTTTGTATGAAATCAATATAATTTCCTAGAAATCTTGATTAGTAGTTCTCTACCGCGTTGACTAGCTGCAAATCGGACGCAGCTTTTTTAGACAGTGATCTAACCTATATAGCTGTTTATTATTATTTTCGTCCTATCATAAGACCTAAAACGTTTTACCCTAGCAGACATCGTTCTTGGCTATTTCATAGCCTGCATTGTGTGCTCACAAACGGATACTACATAGAGCACAATAAATTTCAATAAGATTGCTTTCGAACTGGAATGTCTGTTTGTCTTAAATTTCTTTCTTACGGTCCGCTTAACTTAAAAATTACTTCAGGCGACTGGCGCGCCACAAAGCGACACAAATTGAGCGTACGCCCAGCTTCGAATCTTTCTGGAGAAGACTTGAGTAACAGTTTTATAGACGACCAGGCTTTATTTTTAGTCCTTTCTAGTCCTCGATTCTTTTCACCGGTTTCACTTTCTGCCGACACCGCAGACCTGCAGCAGATATGACTCGCACCGACTAGAACATTTGGCCGAAGGCCCACTCAATTTCTTTCCCTCACAAGACGAGGGAGGGTTGCCTTCTCTTTGAACGCCCAATAAAAATGACTAGATAATGGCAATGTCTAATTGTATGTCTTGAAGATCCGTTAATAGTTTCGACTATGCTTGCGGGCTAAGGGTTTTGAGCTTAAGAATTTTATAATGGGTTCTCTTGCCGGGTTCCCTGTGTCCCTTGTCCTTCCCACGATAAGCAATGGTGCCAGTCGAGTGTTTCTATGGCAATCATTTCCTTTAAAGAAGATGAACACTGTAAACTTTTCTAGCATCCCGCAGTCGGTAGTGCTGACTGTAGATTCGACAAACTACATCGATGGAACGGATCTAATCCAGGGATCATCTATCCGACTCGATTTCTTTGGAACGATTATTCTAGACTCTTCCAAATTCAGGAAGATCAGTAATGTGTGACCGACATCGTCTTCGACCCCTTTATCGCAGTAGACGTATCTATCCCGCAAATCAACTAGTTTACGATACACACTTTTTAATAGTATGTGTTTTCTCAGAACGGTTTGATTATAGTGCTCTTATTACTGACAACTTGAGAGTGAGACTTAACTGGACTCACAGGATCTGCACAGAATACTAAGTTTCTATTTCTGAATGTAACTCTCAAGTTTACTTTAATCTCAGTTTTATGTATGCATGCATGCACACATTTAATGACTTGTTTCAGACATACAAATTCCAAATTTGCCATTTGTTACAACATTATGATAAAACTCCGTATCGAGCATAACTTACTCTCACTTTTTGCCAGTGACAGATTATATGTCTTTATACACTCAATCGACACTTGATTTGCTCAATTTACCACTCGCCAGTGGAACAAGTCTACCTGCACCGTGATGTAGGTTCGATAAATACGCTAGCCTTGTGATGGTTGTGGGGTTAGTTAAATTCAGGTGTGTTGCATGCATCTTCATTGGCTGTAGCCATTCTACCTCTAAGTAGCGTCAACTGGAAGTTTCGATAAACAGAGCCGCTCACGTCGCTATTTATCGCAAAAATTGAAGTTTAAATGGATTACCCAATCAGAATAACCGTTGGGTTCATGCTGTAAATACGTTGTTTGGCCTTTTTACCATTTGATTAACGTACGCTTCATTCCTTGCTATGCACAAAATTGGTATTTTTTTTAACGTGGGGTGCTTTCGACGATATTTTCGCTATTCAATTTCGAGCTTCGATGTAGAGAGGAAGCCCCTTCCCCCCCCCCTCGAGCGTGTGGTAAGTTCTCCAAGGACACGCACATCGTTACGTGATAGAGCTGACCTAAGATGGAACTTTCTTAGAGTTCACGCGACCATAATTTTCGGCTCCACCAGTGCAAATTTTTGTCCTATAAAATAAGATTGTTCCAGCTTAAATAAGTTCACCACTATTTCTTCAAAGCAATTGAGTACTTAAGCGAATCCACGTTCTATATCATTATACCTTTGTCAACGAATAGTTCTTCTCTTATTATCATTACTCTTATAATCTTTATATATATTATAATCTTATAATACTCTTACTTATAGTCATTACTCCTACCAATACAATTTCGAGGGCCAGCGGAGAAAGGTATGTAGGCAAAAGGGTTTCGTGCAGCAACATTTTTCGATAAACATCGATCGGGATTGTAGATTTCGGGATCAGGAAATACGTCTCGGTCACGATAAGTAACGTTGGTGACTTGACGTTGTGACCGCCTAAACACGAATTACGATTATTTGTTACTTAGAGTTACAACTGTCAAACATTAACAGAAGAATAAATAAAAGCAAAATTTCGTCTCGTATTAAGCTTACTCACAAATCATTAAGTCCTGGTTTACGAACCGGGCAATGAGGGGTACTGAAGGATACAGCCGCTGTGCTTCCTGCAGAATAATCATATGTAATTTATCTGGTAAAAACCGGGAGGTGTTTTATATGTGGTAGCTATGCAACACGGTCAAAGCTTCACAACACGTAACAGCAATACTGGTTCGTGTCGGCCTGTATTCACAGCTCGCTCCCGGCTAATATTCTAGCACGTGGCGCCAGATACTTTCCTGACTTCTAGTCAAAGAACAGAATTACCATCTTTGATTAAGACAAGAGTAGAAATACCGTACAAGTGACCCCGTGTCAATATGTCACTTTTGATTGAAAACGACATAAAAAAACAGTGGCAGCGACATTGTGTACCGTACGACGACGTCCGACCAGGAGCAAGTGAGTGGGATTGTTGGCCGACGTGACCTAAGTGGCTAACGCGCGTACGTTGCCATAGTGACCATTAACTAACTCATTAACACGCAGCTACGCTGGCTAAAATGTCAGCGTTGATAAATAAAAATATTACTGGAAAAAATTGAATTATTATTGCCACCATGCCTTTTCATAGGTCTGGAGAAACCCTGGATAGGTCCAGCCAAACCTACCTCGGTTAGTCTTTTAATGCGGGCATGTCTTACGCTCTGAAGTGATTCCGAAGACTTATTCGTATAGAATAATAGTGAGGAAAATAAGCCATAATAGAAAAAATTATTGATGGTCATCAAAAGCTCATTCGTTATCTTACCTGCAGTTACAATGCACTCAGCTAAAGATGCGCTCCATCAAATCTAAATTATGCCCAAGCAGTGATTTATGTACGAAGCATTAGCTTTTAAATGATCTAAAATCTGAAGCAGATAAAATTGGGCAGATGAAATTGATTCGCTTATCCTCTGTTTCCAGTAATTGGTTTGGATGAAAAGCACCTAATTATTACTGACCTATACAATGATCCCAAAGGCAGACAAAGGCAACAGACGACTGAAATACCTCACCTTAATACAGCGTTCAATGTATTTCATCTTCGAAAGATCATCTTGGGTTATCGATCCGTCGTTATCGTTTCCAAAAATATCGTCAAGTCCTTGATGGACCTTTGCCTGTATGTCAGGATTTTCGGCAAGGAGACACAGCGTCCACGAAACGCCTAGTAATAGAACGCACAATAATTAACGCGTGGACTTGAAAACAGTCAAAACAAAATTAGGAGGGTAATACTCCTAGTTCCTATCCTTCTAGACCAGTATTTTTTTCTCGTAGATTTCATGCTACTTAAACGATCGCGAAGGTTTATATGTTTACCCATAGGGGTGGTGTCGTGTCCTTCGAACACAAAGGTGTCTACCTCCTCCCGGATGCCTTCAAGCGGCAGAAGCTGAGAATCCTCCAAGTGAGTCTCAAGCAGTAGATCGAGAAACGGACGCCTCTTCTTCAGACCGGTGTCTTCTTTGTTATTCGACGTTTCCGTGTTGGTTTCACGTTCTGCCAGCATTTCAGCCTTGCGCTTCTCAATCACCTTTTCCCGTTTGTATAGTCGCATTTGTGTGAGAACAAATAATCAACTTTGCTAACTTCCTGTACCTGTGTTAGCAGAACGCGAACTTTTAACTAATGTGTATTTTTGGTGTTAGATCATTCGACTTGACTACAACATATTCTACCTTAACCCTAGCTAGACCCCTGGATATCGTTTAAAGGAAACTTTAACTATTCTACCTTTCGAGTGAAGCTGTGAAGTGTGTCGAGGTTCTTACTGTAACGACGACCCTCAGCACTCACAGTGTAAAAAATATCGAACCAATGCCAGGGCTTTACCATGCGTTCTATAAGACTAGCTCCAACATCATAGGCTGCTCGCACATAATCCGAACCGCTGTTATCATGAGCATGTATCTTCACACCCATTGCGGTCTCTATGGAATAATTGTAAAATAGCTCAATTGTAAACAGGATCGGTACTTGTTGTTGTTCAGTTAGTGTCGCTGACAAAAATTTGCCATTTACTCTTTCTTTTTTATCCTAAAAATATTGTTTATAATGTAGCAAATATAAAAATATTCTTAAATGAACATATTTATTATACTAGTTTTTCCAGCTAATTATTACTTTGCCTTATCATGTCAACACCCCATTTGCCTACTATCATGAGCGTGCATGATAGATTGTTGCCATAGAGCTACATAGTTGAGCATGTTTCTCTACAACTTAATAAAACTTCTTGTAATAGTTCATCGTGCAAGACGGCCAACAAACACTTGTGGTCAAGACCATGCACGTTTCTTTCAAACACATCGAAAACGGTACGCTTTTCGAAAGAAATTCATTTATTTACCGCATATAATATCGAGCGTACTCATGCTAACAGGAGAAGTAATTTCGACCGGCTTTCCTCCTTCGTGTCCTTCAAGGACAGCAGCGAAGTGCTGCGAGTGTTCATCGATCACTCGTATGAAATCCTCAGGGATGCGGAAATGGAACGCTGGAGTAAGCATCTTTCGTCTTTGACGCCATTTGCTACCATTACTGAGTTCAAACTCAAAAAAAAAAAAAGCAAACTAGCAACTGATTGGGAATGAATGATACTCAATGGAATTAATTGACTACAATATATGCTAAGCTGATACAGCTGTAACAAATGACTCTGCTGAACTAAGGGGCTCATTTGGTTTCATCAGCAGACCCGAAAACGGCCTCATTTGACAGGAGATACACAGAAAAAAAACTGTCCTGAAATAGGTATCACAGCCACGATGAAAATATTGAATACGAATTACGAAAATGGTCCATAGGCAACGAATTCTCTCTTCTACAGATGAAAATATTTCGCAATCATCAACCGTAACCAATCAATTAGATGCCTAATGAGCAAACCGGTTCCTAGCCAGCCGTTAAGGAACTTGTAGATCCACGATTTGTCGATAAGGGTCGGTGATGCCAAAACTGGTCCGATTGGTTCAGCCTTATGAAAAAGCCTTGAACAAATCCTTGTCGATTTGGGTCGTACTTGCCCATATACGTGTCCAACAGGACTAGAAGTGCTGTCAATGAATGTATTCATTCATTGAAAATATATGATAAGAGTTGGCACTAAGGCTACATCCCGAGCCGAGACATACAGAATCAAATGTAAACCCTTTATTCTTTTTCACATTAAACAACACTAGGGTTACTTCCGCCATGTGGAACAATGTAGGCACAGTTTAAATTATGACAAATGTACCATTTGATTAGAACTTACGTCAGGATTTCCAGATCACGTTACGCAGAAGACCAACTGCATGTATCAATGAAGATATTTGTACTTGTCAGGAATAATACTTACATAATCTTTAGCGACAGTATTAACGATATGACGATAATTGTATGACGTTTTCGATATTATATGCTAGGAATAGTTTCCGTTTCGAGCTATGATGTTTATTTGATGAGGACTAGGAACAAGCCATGCGAGAACAGCTAAACTAAACCATACTGGCATAAACACATTGACATAGGTGGAGATGTTCGTAGTTCGTAGTCTGACCGCCGAGCATTTGTAATAACAAAACTGTTCTTCGAAACGTTACGTAACTAAGCTTGTCTCAAATGGGATGGGATTTTTCAATAACGTAATCAACGTAGAACGTCGATCAAATGCCTTTGGTTACTGATCTCAAGCTGATAAACACCAAAAATAGTGGCAAAATTTTTAGAACTCCCAGCGAAGTATTATAGTACGACTGGTGTCATTGAAAGGAAAGACGTTAGAAATGGTGCGGCCGTACCAACTCGCGTAGAATGAAAAGATTCGAAGTTCATAAAGAGCATTGTGTAGTCGGAAAAGCGTTGTACGCTAATTGCGGCTTTTACATAACGAATCTAAACTTTTTAGTTTAATATCCGCGACAGCTGTCGCATTTATCACCACGTTTTGTCTGATCATCGAAACTAAGGAACCTCAAACCCGAATTGTACTCTCAGGTTTTTGACAACAACGACAACATGTATTCTGGAAGAGGCTTTAAATGCTCGGACAAACAGTCTAGAGATCTTAAACTTCGGTTGGTGTTGTTCATTTCTATTGACTTCGATGTACAAAAGTAAGTAGGGTAAAAATGAAGAAAAAAAACTTTGCACCGACAGAGAAAGCATTTAGACCGAACTGATAATGGCAGCAATGAGAATCGGCGCTAGTTGGACGGCATTATAGGGAGGCCTCATTCGCAAAATTCGGTAATTCTTTGGGGGCAGATGGTTTCACGTAAATATTTTCTCGTATTTACGGTAATTAGAAATGTGTATATATATATATATATATATATATATATATATATATATATAATCGTATATAATATAATTGTATATTATGATATACGATTCTATTTGCGCCTACTATATGGTTCATCAAAGCAATACTCGGCCCGAAACATAACTTCTTCTAGAAAGGGGTTACATTTACTAGAGTCTAAAACGATGTACATGCTAAGCACGGATATATGGTTAACGGACTTTTCCTATTTAACGTACCTTCACCGATGGACGTTTTTTCATGTTCCAGTCCGAATGAAGCAACCACTCTGCTCCCAACGGATTCCACCAGGACGGTGCCACTCCCGGCATGGTTCTATTCCAGTCAAACCATTTTCGGAATAGAATGATAAACGCCCATAGAAACAGTACGAACCCAATTATTATCGATGGTACATAGATGAGAATGCGTGGAAAATGTCGAACTGTTCCTAATGTCTAAAATCTAGCTATTTGCCTATCACAGTCGAGAGCACAAAAGTGATTCCGAAGAACTTTTAAGGTATTGGCTTGAACGTTATGTGCACAATGTACATAACGGCCCAAGAACGAGTAAGTCATGCGTGGATAGTTTGTTTTCTTTTAAGCCATCTGGCTTAGTGAGGGCCCTTGTTAGGAGGGTCACGTGACGCAATTGTTGATGCCGTCGATAACCGCTATTGGCTGATAGCGAGTAGGGTGTCAACTAAGACAGCTTATTAAATCAACTGTGTGTGTGTGATGTTTCTCGAATCCAACATGAAGGCTAGAGGGCAGAAGATCATTTCTGTGGAAGCCACATCCCAAGTCATAGAAAGGGCAAAGCTGCCCCATCTTCTCATTAATCTTGTAACTAGTCATAACGGCAGGAGCGGCAGCATTTATACCGATAAGTATTAGCCAAAACCCTCCTTCTTTTTTAAAATATGATGAGACAATCATCAGCAAGTATTAACGAACGAAAATAATAAATACTGTTTTTCAGTGTCTCCATTCTCCGATAACGTGTCCAATAGCCAAGCCGGGAACTCGAGCTTGTAATGTAGCAAAGGGGCAAGGAATACGGTCCGCTATTTGAAATCACATCGTACAACATTCCCTCTGAGATAGATGAGCCACCCGGCACTATCCTGAAGATCTACCTGATGATAACTCGTATCGGTTACGATGAATGCAGACGGCGTAATTGTGCGTCGACTTGAGTTAGTCAAGCCCGTTGCTTATTATTTACCTTATAAATACGCATGTCGGTGTAATTTTTGCAATTTCATGATAATTGGAATTTATGTGTCGAGAAGTAAAAAAAAAACACACAGGTCGTCTGCATTCTCTTATCCATGGATCAGAAAAATGCCCCAGCATAGTTACAAACCGATATATAAATAGTGTGTAAGAAGAATAATTGTGTCCGTAACGAATCTGTGCTGCGCACCTAATAGAGCGTTAAACTTTTTTTTTGCAGTAGCAGAATAAACTTATTTAAAAATTAAACACTGGATTGTTCGTTAGACTTATTTTCTTATTGTCTGGATTGCCTTATCTAGCAATACAATCATAGCAACAACTACATTTCATGCGAAATGTATTCAAATACTTGCGGGAAAGCATGATCTGCCTTGAGAAATCCACCAAAAACCATTCGGGGATCTGTGATGATAGTGTTGCAGCGTCTAGGCTTCAGTGACGCAAAATACGAACGAGGGTGACAAATCTATGTCCTCTTATGTGTCTATTTGGAATTCTACATTATATTCATTTATGTACCTATATTCGGCTGTTGGCTACAAGGCCTTCCCACGATTCAGTTGATAACCAACCTTATGCAAACAAAATGGACTATTGTAAATTTTTGGGTGATCGGCCCACATATATTAAAATATCTCGCCAGCTTTCATAAATATGTTGTACATTTTATTTATGTTTATATAAACGGTTAATAAGCATCATTTGTTTATAGCTCGCTGTTAATTTGTGCGACAAGCTCAGTTCGCGATACTTGGGTCGAAGGCGTATGCCCAGTTTAAATGCTTCGTGGATATATTTGCCGTTAGATCAATGCCTGGAACATCGACCATAGCTAGACTCGTCATTCATTGCTAACAGTCGCTTTAGGTTAGGTTAGCTGTTAGGTTAGGTTAGGTTAGCTGTTAGGTTAGGTTAGGTTAGCTGTTAGGTTAGGTTAGGTTAGCTGTTAGGTTAGGTTAGCTGTTAGGTTAGGTTAGGTTAGCTGTTAGGTTAGGTTAGGTTTTTAGGGTATTTTTGCTGTTACTGAATAGGATCGGAGATAGCTTGCATCTCTGTGCGGATCTCTGCGGTTGTCACACACACTCAGTGAGAGCAGAATTAGTTCAGGACACAAAAGCTGTTTTAATGCATTATGCTAAGGCGCCACTATGGTTTACCTGTTAGCTAGGTCACACGTCTTTGACAACTGGAAAGCAAAATATACTTTACGACTAACCAATATGAGCAAGAAATCTTAAACTGTTAATTAATTTCAGTACTTAGCTTATTTTAAAGGATTAAAGCGTTTTACCATAGACCACACGAGCAAAGATTTCTATCCATGCGACCCCACACATGTTTCCTGGCAAGCAAGGGTAATTCATTTCGTCATGCATTGGTAGGCTCGGTCCTGCGAACTTCTCTATTAAGACCATGGGTGTATACTGCATCTGCAAAGCAGCGATTGGATTAACGCCCGTCAAATAGCGTAATTCAATGTGCGCCCTAGTCAAAGAAGTTTGAAAGAAAGCTTACTCTTTTGCCCACCTCTGCAATGAAAATGGCTCTAGGACTTCGTTTCGCCCTAGCTAACAACTTACTTCACATTATCTCACCTCACCACTTAAAAGAATTCTTCTGTGGCTCACATCAAGGTGCCAGATGGCCAGTTTCGTTCCGCCCTAACGGAAACCACTTGGCCTGCGGACTAACCTTGTGGTTTGTATGCTGGCTAGGACATACGTCTCTGATAGCGCGAAAACAGAATATTCTGCACAGTTGGTCAAGAACAGTGACACTGGAAATTAGGGAATTAATATATACATTGTTCAGCAAATGAATATTAAAAGGGGCAGAGGGTACATTGATTTAGGGAAAGCAGTGTCTGAAGGCAAAATACGTGTTGTTATCAAATTTATTATACACTAAATAATTAAATACTTACAAAGTACGGGTGTCTTATTCGAAGTACAGGGAGATAACGTCGCCCGTATTTACAGTTTTACGTTTGCCAATC